TGAAGCCACGCGTGCCGATGGAAAATGGCTCCGTTTGAAAAGAAACAAAAAGAAAAGGTGTGCTTCTATGCGTGCGGTTGGGTCGCGGCAGCGATGGCGTTGGCGGGCGGCCAGCCGCGGTGACCCTTCGGCGGTGGTGGCGGTGGTGGCGGTGTTGCCTGTGTGGTGGTGTTGGCCGTCTTATTTGGCGTGGTCTCCGTTTACCGTCACGGGGGTCCGTGCTGCCTGTGGATGCCGTGTGCTGGTGGGGTGCGCTGTGGCTCCGTGGTGGATGGCCCGTGTGCCGCCTCTGTTGTGTGCACATTGGGCGTGTGCGTGGCGGCGATGGAAGCGTGGCTGGGCGGGAGGAGGTGGGGATGGCTGCGGCGTTGACGTGCGGCTGAAGGCGCTCTAGACGATTGCTGGGCGTTGGGATGTGCCCGTCTTTTTGAAGAGTTGGGAGGAGACGAAGGACGTCTGCGGGGCGTTGATTCGCCGTATCACCGCGAGGCGGCTTTGCGTGACTGCGCGGAAGGCTGAGCAGCGGGGCGCGAGAGAGTTGTTGTTGTTTTTTTTTTGGAGGGTTTTGTGAGTGTCATCCGTATGGTGTGAGGATGATGGTGTGGGCGACCGCTGCTGTGTCTACGTGGTCGATCGGCTGTGGCGCCTGTTTTTGCCCTCCGTGTAGGGGTTGTTCTGCTGCAGCGGTTTCTCTTTTCGGCCATGGCTGCGCTGTGTCTCGTGACGCCGTCGGCGCTGCGGGTGGATGCGGCGCCTGTTGATCCCGAGTTCACTGCGGTGGTCTACAGGATAGGCAAGGGTCATGTGTTTCGTTTGACGTGAATGATTAGTGGGAGCCGTATGTGTGTGTGTGTGTCCTCGGATTGCTTCCTGAGGAGAGGGCTTCTGATGCCTTTCGACATACTTGTGGCCTGCTTGCGGATTTATTATTATTATTATGTTGCCGCAGGCAGCTTTTTTGTTTTGTGATGTTTGTTTGCTTTTGTTCTTGTGGAGTTACCCCGGATCGTCTTCGGCTCTACTCCTTCGGGCTTCTACCCGTACGAGGATTGGCGCGGTTAGAAGCCAACTGTGCGCCGTTTGTGTCTTGTGGGGATACATTTGTGGGTGGAATTGTGTGCCTTTGTGGTAACCGTTTATTCCTATGCAATTCCTGTCCTTTTTTGTTTTTGTTTGTTTGATGGCTTTGATGAGGTGCTGGAGTTCACGCCTTTGCTTTCGGTGCGTGAGACGATGTACGACGCTAAACGCCTCCTTGCGTACATTCGTTAGGTTTCTGTGCGTCTGTGATTCCGCCGGCGGTGGCGTGTCATGCCGCACCCTTCACGGTGGTGCGCCGATGTCGTATGTGCTTGTGTTGGCTGGTTTTGGATGTGATGCGGATGGGGGTTGTTGCTGTCTTACTTGTTTGTTTGTTTGTTCTTGCCGTTTCCCTTTCGTCTTCACCTTTACTCTTCGCTTGTTATCTTGCAGTGTTCTTCGACTCTCGCGTCGGCGGTCCGGTAAGTTGCGTAACGGTGGTATTTGCGCGGTGATGCCCCACGAGGCGCCGTTGCAAGATGCCGCCGGTGTGGAACGGCAGATGAGTGCACAGGGCGGGCACGTCGTGGTGACATTTTTCACCACAAGTTTCCCAAAGGCGATGCCGGAGCAGTCGTACTCTGTGCCGCTGGACACGCTGCCCGAAGGCCTGAACACGCTTGTGCAAAGCGTTCTCGCGGTGGAGGGCCACACGTTTGATTTTATCCTCAATGATGAGTACATCTCGACCTCGCTGCACAAATTTCTTGCCCGCCGAGGCATTAGCTACGAGGAGCTGCTTAACATCGAGTACACCCCTGCGCTGCAGGCGAAGGAGGGATCGCTGCTTCCACACGATGACTGGGTGAGCAGTGTGCGGGCACCGTTTCTGGGAGGCGTGGAGTTACTGCTCACCGCGTCGTATGACCACTGCGTGCGCCTTTGGGACGGGGAGAACTGCGTTGCCCTCGGAACCTATCACAATGAATGCGTGAAGGAGGTCTGTCTGCATCCAGTGCGACCCACGACGTCCTCAACGGACGCAGCGGCGTTATCGCGAAAACGTAAACGTGCGGCGGCAATGGAAGATTTCATGTGTGTAAGCTGCAGCAAGGACGGCAGCATTGTGGCCTGGCAGTTTGACGGCAGCCTAGCACAATTCACGCCATTGGGGGTGGTGAAGCCACATATCGACGGCGTGGACTCCGTTGACGTCTCACCCGGGAGTGGTGAGTACGTGGCGAGCGCTTCGTGGGACGGCACCGTCAAGGTGTTTCAGTGGTCTCAGCTGTTGGATGCAGAAACCCCGGCCGCGTCAAAGGCACCGCTTGTTTCCTTCACCGACCACACGCGGCCTGTGCTTTCCTGTCGTTTTTCCGCAACGGATGGGCCTTCTCTGCTGTACTCCGCCGGCCTGGATGGAGCTGTAAAGTCTCTCAGCGTTGAGCGGGCTGTGCTCCTATCGAACTGTGAAGGCGATCATCCCATCCAGGGAATTGCTGTGAAACCCGCCGGAGGCGGGGGTGATCTTATCATCACCGCCTGCACGGACAATCGCGCCCGCCTCTACGACACTCGTGAGAAGAAAATTGTGAAAACCTTCAGCGGCCACCGGCAGTGGCTGTATGCTGCGACGTGGGCGTGGCGGCGAGAGGAGGGTGAGCAGGGGGGGTCACACCTCTTTGCCACTGCGAGCGAGGACAGCACCGTCCGTGTGTGGGATCTCCGCTCGACCAGCGCCGCACTCCTCACGCTGGACACCATGCACACTGACGGCGTGTTGGATGTCACGTACGCTGGCGGCTCACAAATTGCGTCGGGTGGAAAAGACAACAAAACAAGGAGCTTCTCATTATCTAAGGGTGAGGATGGCATGAGTTGACCGCCCACCCGCGGCGTGGCGGCCCCAATATTAAGACCTATAAACAGAAATAAAAAGTAAAACAGGAAGAAATGAAATGACGAACACGAGGAACTGCTGTGCTCAAGACAAAAGTGTCGTTTTCACTCTTTGGTTTTGTTTCTTGTTTCTTCTACACGCAACGTGACGTCCGTTGTTTTTTTTTTCCATCTTTCCTGCGCTGCCGCCGCTGAACTTTTTCGCATCGTGTCTTACTGTTATGCGTTGGTGCGTCTCTTATGTGCATGTCTGTGTCCCCGTGGTTTGCCTCTTTTTTTTTTTGTTACTTTGGGTTTGGCCCGTTGTGGATTTAGGGAAGGGTAAACATGTGAAGGGAACGCATGGAGGATGATCTTTTTATTTTGACTGATCGTAGTGGCGACGGCGCGGTTACCGTGGATGAGACCACACACTACTTTGAACGCCACGGCTTCCTTCCGGAAAAGGACGCCCCCCTCGTGCCCTTCAAGGATGCACTCATCGATGCGACGATGTTTCGGCCGATGGTAGACCTCTTGTGTGCACACTGCCGGGCTGCGCTTGGTGGCGCCCGGGACGTGTGCGTGTGGAGCAGGCGCTTTACTCCGCTTTCTGCGTCAGCGTCTCCGCGCCTGAAATGCCCCCCCCCCCCCCCCTGCAGGGTCATGGAGGACATAGAGGAGCGCCTCATGCGGCATGGCGAGTAGCTTTTCCGACTACCTCGACGAGGGTGAACGTATTGACTTTTTTTTTGCTTTGGTGGCCGCGCCTTTCAAAGACAAAGGTGGCAGCGCTACTGCTGCGGGACCACGCCGTGGGGCGCCGGGCCCGCTGCAGGAGACGGAACACGTTGATGAGGTGGTGATCGTGACGCCCGGAGTCTGGAGGGGCGGGAGTGTGCGACGGAGATGCTGCTGAGATACGCTTCACAACTAAAGTTGACGTTGCGCTCGATGGAGGCGAGCGTTGAGAGGGCTGACGCGCAGGAGACCCAGAATGTCATTCTCCTGGAGATGTTGGTTGTGGCGAAGGAGAAGCACAGGTGACGATTGTGAGGTTGTTGTGCAAAATTGAGAAGCTCCGACGCGAGCTCGAACAGAATGTTTTTGTCTCCCGCGCGTTTCCTTCCCACGCTGCTTCGGCGTGCCGTGTCTGTCTTGACGGTGGTGTGCCAGGCGATGACACGAGGACGCTCTCCCTCGTTCACCATTTTTTCCGTAAACGAGAGCAGGAGGAACCGGAGCGCGTGTTGCTGCTGCAGGAGCGAGAGGCAGAGCTTGAGAAGTGGCATGAGTTTCTTCTTTTGCTGGTAGGCCGCGGCGCACGCGAAGGAGAACGAGGTGGTTCAACGCGAGTTGGAGACACGGAAGCGTTGGTCCGAGGCCTTCCTGCGCAAAGAACGACACCTGGAGCGCCTACAGGAGAGATGGCAGCTGAAACAGCTTAAATTTGCCGCGCGTGAGGCGGAGGTGAAGAAACGCTGGTTGAACCAAATTGAACGAGATTGCGAGGCCGGAGAGTTATCGCTCGGTGAGCGACGCCGGTAAATGTAGCAGCTGCACTTCATTGAGAGCGCGCTGCGCGAACGTGAGGGACGAGTACGCGCGAAAGAGGCGAATGACTCACCGCACGCCATGGCCACGGAGGTTCACCGTCGTCAGCGGAAGCCTCCGGAGCAGCGCGCCGTTGGCCAATTGGAACAATTGTGAGGTTCATAGCCAACGGAGAGCAGGGCCGCCGATGTCTGCGTGCTGTCACTCTTTAAGGCCCTTTTTTTGTGCCTTTCCCTGCCATTGTGGGCTTGTTATTTGTTGCTATTTATTGTGTGTTCTTGTTTTTGTGCATGCGTGTGTGCGTGTGCATATGTAGCCGGTTGGGTTTTGTATGCTGTCATTACTCCCTCGTTTTTCTGTCACGGTGGCGTGCCTCCACGTGTACTGTGCGTCCATTGGCTGTCCTTGCCCTTCCCCAACATCTTATGACGTTGGTGTTGAGTGACCGTTCTCTCCTCACGGGCTTTGCTTCATCTTCTTGCTTGATGACATCCACCTTTGCCTCTTTTTCATGGCCGCCTTACTGCTGAAACTTATTCAGAATACTGCGGGAACCCAGAGAAGATATTTTTTTTTTGGCTTCTCTCGCGTGGATGGGCGCCAAGAAGAAGACGACGAGCCGCGCCACCGGCAGGAAGAAGGTAGCAGAGCCGAAAGGAATGAGTGCATCGACGCCATCCGACGAGATGTCGCTTCACGACGAGGAAGCGATCGAATTCGACGATGTACTTTCAGATGACCGTCGCGTGGCGGCGGAGGAGGCGTATGATGAGGCCATTAACGATGATGACGACTTTGAGGTGAAGGCGGAGAAGTATCGTCGGCGGATGCTCGCCCTCAGCCGTGAGGCCGCGGAGGAGCGTGATGCGGACATGCGAACCCGTGTGGTGAAGGCGACTCCGCTGCACGATGCCGAGGAGGCGCAGGAGCAGATGCAGCTGCTTGGCCAGCAGCACACGACGGAGGAGCTGCGGGATCGAATTCAGGAGACGGTCCGTGTGCTGTCAAAGTTTAAGGAGGAGCGGGAGGAGGAGCGGACGCGTGCGGAGTACATGGAGCTGCTCCGCTCTGACGTCATGGAACTCTACGAATACAACGAGTTCCTGACAGATGCAATTTTGCTGCTCTTCCCACCGGCCGAGGCCGTGGAGTTTTTTGAGGCGATGGAGAAACCGCGTCCGACAACCATCCGCGTGAACACGTTGAAGGCCAAACGCCGGGATTTGGTGCAGACGTTGGTGAAGCGCGGCATGAATGTGGAGCCGCTGGAGAAGTGGTCTAAGGTGGGGCTGCAGGTGTTTGAGTCCAACGTTCCCATCGCGGGAACGATTGAGTATCTTGCCGGGCACTACATGCTGCAGTCGGCAGTGTCGTTTTTGCCGGTGATGGCGCTTGCCCCGCAGGAAAAGGAGCGCATTCTTGACATGGCCGCCGCCCCTGGTGGAAAGACGACGTATATTGCCCAACTGATGAAGAACACAGGTGTGCTGTTTGCCAATGACGTCAGCGAGCCCCGCACAAAGTCGTTGAATGCCAACTTGCAACGCCTCGGGGTGATGAACGCGGTGGTGACAAACTACGATGGCGCCGGCTACGATAAAGTCATGAGGAACTTTGACCGCGTTCTTCTTGACGCCCCGTGCACAGGTAGCGGCATCATCTCGCGGGACAAGAGCATCAAGACCAGCAAGCACTACGAGGATGTTCAGCGGGCCTCGCAGCAGCAACGGTCTCTCCTCCTTTCTGCCATTGACGCGGTGAAGGTGGGCGGCTACGTTGTCTACTCCACCTGCTCGTTCCTTGTGGAGGAGAACGAGGCGGTTGTGGAGTTTGCGGTGCGGCGACGCCACGTGGAGATTGTCGAAATGGGGCTTCCGTTTGGCCGCCCTGGGCTCACAAAGTACCGGCACCACCGCTTTCACGAAAAGATGCAGTGCTCGCGCCGCTTCTTCCCGCACGTGCACAACATGGATGGCTTCTTCGTCTGCAAGCTGAAGAAGTTGTCAAGCGACCGCACCGACGTCCACGACGCCAAGGAGGAGGTGGAGCGGACGGAGAATGGCCTCTCACGCCGTGGGAAGAGTGGGGAGAAGATGGCCAGCAAGCGTCAGCGCGACGGCAACACACACGCCGTGGCGAGGACGCCAGCAAAGGCCAGCCGCCTCAGCGTCCCTCCACCGAAGGGAAGGAGCGGAAAGGCGAGCCCCCGGTAACGCCTAAGGAACTAATCAACAGAGGAGAGAGAAGGGAGCGAATAATTTCTTCCTAAGAACTTTCGCCGGGTAATTTTTTTGAGTTTACTGTTCTCCCGTGCGAGATGCATTCGAAAAGGCTCCATGGAGACGGTTGTGCCGTTCTTCACTGTTTCCCGTTTCACTCGCGGTGATGCGCGTTTATTATTATTATTATTATTATGTGTGTTTTTTTTTGTGTTTCTACCCCCGTCTTTTTCTTGTCTGTTCTTTTTGTGTCGATTTACTGCGGACGCGGTTTCCTTTTCGGAGGCAGGGCGGAAGGTGTGAGGAATGCCGCCTACTTTGGCTGCCGCTAGTCCTCGCAGCTACCTTCACGATCGGGTTCAGCGGCAGTATCTGGAGGTGCTTCCATCACGCTGGCGTGCCGTTCTCTCGCGGCTGGCGAAAAACACTCAACTGCGGCAGAAACTCGACGGTGTCATCGACAGCAATCTCCTGTCCAACATACAGAATGACTTTGACCTCATCCATGCATTATTGGAGGAGGAGCACCGCATCTACCGAGAGGGTATGATTTGCCTTTGTTCTTTATCATCGAATAGAGAAGCCGAGACGGGACGATTGGCTGCCTCTCGTCAGCTCATGCAGGGGATGCTCGCTTGCATTGCCGTGAAGGAGCTGCTCATTGCACACTGGAAGGGCGCGCCCGTGGACACTTCCCCCAACACACTGCGTGTCTACTGCCATGCGTGTATTTCCAACCCACACGTGTCCGCGACGAACGTTGAGCGGCTTTTGGCCCTCTACACGGTGCCCCGATGATCACAGTTTGCATGTGGGTTGCTTTGTGGCGCACTCGCATTATGTGTTTTTTAAAAGTTATTTTTATTCTCGCCCCTACAAAGGCGTCCTCCCCCCACCCCACCCTCCTGCCCGTGACGCAACTCCTTTTTTTTTTGTCCTTTTCTTTCTTTTGCCGTGACGTTACGTAGTGGATGCGTCAGGAATGAATGAGCTTTATGCTTCTTTTCGACCGTGGCCTCTCCGTCCGGGAATATGTGCTCGCCCGCATCGAGGACTGCCGGGAACCGTTTCACGTTTGGTATCAAATTGCCTTGAGGACGTCCAAAAGCGCCATCTTGACCTCAGTTGTCATATTTGTGGTGGCACTCGTGGTGCTTCTGACCGTCTTGGGGTGTATTGCCCTCTCGCTTATGGGCACGTTGGCGATCCGACGCTACGTCCTCTTGCACGCCCCTGGAAACCAGTTGCTGCCTCTAACCTTCAACACCATGCCGTACGAGACGGAGTTGTGGCGACTGCACAAGTTGGACACCTTCGTCTCGCGTCTTGCCTTTGAGCCAGAGACACTTCCCCGACAGGATGACGGACGTTCCGTTGTGGCGAGGAAAGAGCCTACGAGCGCAGAACTGCCATTGTCCGTGGCGGAGCAGGCAGCCTCGCTGAAAATGTCCCTCATACAGCAGTACGTACAAAATACACTGGCGACAAGCACACTGCTTATTCCCACTTTGGTGCGGAGGGAAGTGTTCCCTCCCGGTGGTGGCGTCTCCATTGAGGCACTTTTTCAGCAGCGGAAGCCAATGTTTAATGCCAGGGGCGTGTATGACGCCAAGATGCAGCTTGTCTTTATGAAGGAAGAGGTGGGGCGTGACGTTTCTCTGGTGTTGGAATCATCTGTACTCTTCTCTGAGGACTCCGATATCTCTCAGGCGCTTAGCGGGCTGGACGTCCTTTTAAAGACGACCACCTCCCTTACCTTCACAACCGGCGAGAAGGAGACGTTTTTGCTGATGCGTCTGATCAAAATGTCGTTTCGCTTTGCCTTCTTTGTGCCGCTGTGGATGTATGAAAAGTTCATCGAGTTGCTGCACCGTGACTTCTTCCCTGACGTTGACACTTCAACCGAGGTGGCTGTTGTTGTCGACGTTTACAACGGATTTGAGCCGCCTCTTGTCTTACAGCCTCGGCTGCGCGCCATCAACTTTACGTTGTACCAAGAGGTGAAAAGTACCCTGGGGCGGGCGCGGCTGCTTCGGATGCACTTTTTTAGCCGCGTCCATCTCGCTGGTCTTGCGTACTACTTTTCGACGTACACTTTGACTAGCTTCATGTGCACGACGCTGGTGCTTTTCATATGCTTCTGTGCCATTGCTGTGGGGGTTGCTCTTGCCGCAGGAGCCTTGATTGTTTCTTTTTATGTGCGTAGCACACGCTCTTCTGTAGACGAGGGTGCGTCCCCGTTCGACACCGAGGAGGAGGAGGAGGAGGAGAAGGATTGGGTTGGGGAGAAGCAGCGGTTAATTCCGCAGATTTATCCGTCTCCCTTGCTTCATGCCGAGAGCTTTGCTTCATCTATGCAGGGGAGCAGGCGGACATCATTGTTTCGCGCCTATGAGCCGAATTCGCCTCTTACAAACGAAAAGAAATCCAAGTAGCTTAGTCTCGCGTTTCATGTGGATAATTTGCGAGTGTGAAAGACAGAGAAAGAGAGAGAGGGAGTGGAGCGCACATGGTCATGAGTGCGCGTGCGCCTGTGGGTGTGTGGGTGCGGCAGGGCAGCTCAACCCATTTGTCAAAGTGCGCGGCGGTGGCAGTTTGCCTTGACAAATGCATGCACTCTTCCACCGCGCCGCATGATCCTCAAGGGTGTAATCTTTTTTTTTTTTGTGAATACATCTTTTTTCTCTCTCTCTCTCTCTCTGTGTGTACGCTTTGCCTCCTCCTATCCTCACTTCCAAGCAATTGCGTTTTTTGTGCACGTCATGGCGTTTGATGTGAGGAGCTACACCTCGGCGCAGCAGCAGCGCCTGGAGGAAATACGTCGCGCGACCGAGAAGGAGCGGGCACTACTCGCCCTTTACGCCGGCAAGCTGGCGTGCGGTTCGCAGGCGGCTTCGAGTCTACCTCCGGATGCCAGTCAAACCCTGCTGGGGTCGAGCGACAGCGGCCGATGGACCTTGTTGAATGACAGGGCCATGGAGCTGCACGCGCTGGATGAGAAGTTGCTGTCGGAGGAGCAGGAGGTGGAGAGACAGACGTCTGAACTTGATAGGCGTCTGCATGCTGCGGAGCGCCGAAAGGCGGAATTACTGTCGCGGCTGGCCGCTCTCCAGCACCGGGAGGTGCTCGTAAAGAAGGAGGAGGAGCTCCTGGAGGAGGCGGAGTCAGGTGCACAGCGAGTGTCGCGGGAGATTGAGGCCTTCTTGCAGGGGATGAATGAGGAGCAGTGCGCCATGGAGGCACGAGTGAGTGAGAAGCGTGCCCGTCTTGTCGCAGCAAAGTCGGAAGCGCGTGATCAGCAAAAGAAAAGAGACGCTTTGGAGGCGCGTGGCCGTGTGCATTTGGAGGAGGTGCAGGATCGCATTCGGGGGCACCGGATGGACGTGGCGAGGCTCAGCAGCGCAGTAAATGACAAGGAGAGGTGGATGCGGCAGGAACAGTCCCGCCTGCGAGAGGCGGAGCTCGCAACCATTTACCGACTGAAGAAGGACATTGAGCTCATGGCGATATCCTTGGGCAACACCACAGGCGTCGCTAAGGGTGCAAGCCCCTAACACCAAGAGAGAGAAAGAAAAGAGGAAAGAGGGCAGTTCGTCCGCTTTTGTAGTGTTTGTGTATGTGTTTGTATTTTTCTCCTTTTTATATCGTGTAAAAAGAAACTTTTTTTTTTCATTTTGCCTCCCCGCGTCTGTTCAACGTTGCACGGGGATGATCGACACCGTTGAATGGTTTCCGCGGCATGCAATTTCGCCGTGCGCCGCTCTCTACATGTTTTTTTTTTTTTTTGGTGTGCTCTCTATTAGTATTTCTTTGGATTGTGTTTTCTTTGCAGCACTATTTTGCGATCTTTGTGCTGTCGGGTAGACTCTGGGCGACGACGAGAGTTGGCGACAATGGACGACGAGCTGCTCCTGCAGCTGAACGAAACGGAGGACTTTGGTGAGGGCAGGCTGGACTACGCCGTGGAGGGTGAGCACGCCTGTTCCACCGACATTGACAGCGAGGACACGTGGGAGATCATATCCTCTTTCTTCCGCGAGAAGGGGCTTGTGCATCAGCAGATTGACTCGTACAATGACTTTCTCCTGCGCATTCCTCGCATGGCACGTAGCCTGCTGGAAATTGTGCCGCGGCAGGATGAACAGTTCGAGCCCGGCGCCCAGACGGAGGCGGAGCCAGACCAATACCGACTCAGTCTCGAGGACGTGGTTATCGGTAACCCGTCTCACGAGGTCTCCGGATTTAGCCGACAAGAGCTGCACCCTCTCTTTCCCAACGAGTGCCGTCTACGCGACTTAACCTACGACGCCAACGCGCAAGTCACTCTCGGCATTCGCGTGTACCGCTCCCGGGAGGAGCAGCCGTACCGCACCTTCCTACAAAATATGGAGCTCGGCCGCATTCCCATCATGCTGAAGTCCATGCGGTGCAATCTGCAGAGCAAGGACGAAGATGAGTTGCCGCGCCTGAACGAGTGTCCACATGATCAGGGAGGCTACTTTGTCATTAATGGAACGGAGAAGGTTCTCATTGCACAGGAGCGTCAGGCCGCCAATCACGTGTACGCCTTCACACGGCAAAAAGGACTTTTGTGTGAGATCAAGTCTATTGTTGAGGGCTCGCTGAATAAGCCTCGTACGCTTCAAATACTAATGCCCTATAAGAAGAAGGGTCCGGAACACGGCTATGAGAATTTGCTGTGTCGTGTGGCACAGATGGATGAACTCATTCCTCTGTTTGTTCTCTTCCGCGCACTTGACATGGGGTCGGATAAAGAAATTCTTCAAACCGTGGTTCCTGATTTAAAAGATGCCGCCATGCTTGAAATGCTTCGCGGCTCCATGGAGGATGCGAGTACATTGCAGATATTTACCAGGGATGAGGCGCTGTGGTTTATTGGAAAGCGTCTTGGTAAGCAGGACAGTCGAGAAAATCTGCAGCGTGAGGCACAGGAACTGTTGATGCGGGACCTTCTCCCACACATGGGCGTTGATTGCGCTGCTGATCGAGGCAAATGTCTCTTCATAGGCTACATGGTTCACCGTCTCTTGTTACTTGCGCTTGGCCGCAGAGAGGACACCGACCGTGACTTTTTGGGTCACAAGCGCATTGATGTTGCCGGGGCACTTTTGACGTTTCAGCTGAATCAATTCCTTGTGCAGGTGCGAAAGGAGATGACAAAGACCGTGCACGATTACTCGACCAACCGCGGCGGCATTGTGAGCTTTGGCAGAATTCTGCACAGTCGCCTCATCACAGATGGGTTGCGCCGCTGCCTTGCCACGGGCAACTTTGGGGACATGAAGACCGGCAACATCAAGACAGGCGTGTCGCAGACCCTCAACCGACTGACATACTCCTCGTCACTGAGTAACCTGCGCCGTATTCAGAACCCCATCTCCGCCTCTAGCAAAGCCACCCGGCCACGCAACTTGCACTGCACCCAGTGGGGCTACATTTGTCCGGTGGAGACGCCAGAAGGTGGTTCCATTGGGTTGCTGAAAAATCTTGCACTGATGTGCCTTGTTTCTCGTGGAAGTGATCACACAGGCGTTGTGCAGGCGGTGCAGGCGCGTATTACCGGGTTCCACTCCATTGACCTTTCCGGTCTTGCCGATGTGCGGGTGGCTCGCGTGTTTGTGAATGGAACACTCATTGGGGTGCATCGCGATCCCGAGCGCCTGCTCCGCGAGTTGCGCGCTCGACGTCGTGGTGGGGAGCTCAGCAACGAGGTGAGCATTGTGCGTGACATCCGTGACCGAGAGATTCGCGTCTTTTCCGACGGCGGTAGATGTCTGCGGCCATTGTTTGTTGTTGAGAAGTCACGCATCAAGCTGCAGAAGACGGGCATTGGGGAACTTCTGGAGCCGTCCAAGACACCTGGTGGGAAACGTGAGATTTCGTGGAACCGGGTCATGAAGAAGGGCTACGTTGAACTCATTGACTGTGAGGAGGAGGATTCACTTCTCATCGCCATGACGCTGACGGAGGTGAGCAAAAATTATTACTACTCTCACTGTGAGATGGACCCGTCGATGATTCTTGGCATTTGCGCCTCCATCATTCCCTACCCGAATCACAATCAGTCGCCACGTAATACGTACCAGTCTGCCATGGGGAAGCAGGCAATGGGGATCTACGCGTCCAACTTTAACATGCGCATGGACACCACGGCGCATGTACTTTTTTACCCGCAAAAACCGCTTGTGCGAACGAAGGCGATGTCATACATGCGAAGCAACGATCTCCCTGCTGGGCACAATGCGGTGGTGGCCATTGCCTGTTACTCGGGATACAATCAAGAGGATTCCATCATCATGAGTCGCTCTGCTGTGGAGCGGGGATTCTTCCGCAGCGCGTTTTGGCGCTCCTACAAGGCGTCCGAGGAGCGCAAGAAGGATGGTCGTGAGCTATTTGAAAACCCCGACCGTAACATTTGTCGCGTCAAGCGCGCGGACTACACGAAGCTGGACGCGGATGGTCTTATCAAGCCTGGCATGTCTGTAATGGGGGGTGACATTCTCGTTGGCAAAACCATTCCCATTCCCGAGGCGGCTCTGGAGAACGCCGTCGTAGGCAACACACGGCTGCTTAAGCGGGACTGCAGCATAGCGTCGAGAACGACAGAGAAGGGGGTGGTGGACAAGGTGATGCTCACGGAGAACAGCGGGAATCGGTTTACGAAGGTGAAGGTTCGCAGTATTAAGATACCAAACATCGGTGATAAGTTCTGTAGTCGTCACGGGCAAAAGGGCACAAACGGGATTCAGTTCCGTCAGGAAGATATGCCTTTTAACCGTGACGGAATTGTTCCAGATTTGATTATCAACCCGCACGCCATTCCCTCACGCATGACGGTGGCCCATCTCATCGAGACACTTGCGGGCAAGGTGGCGTGCTATAAGGGCAGCGAGGTGTACGCCACCCCCTTCTGCTCAGTTGTCGTTGAGGACTTTGGAAAGGCCCTGCACCAACTCCGGTTTCAGCGTTATGGCAACGAGTGTCTGTACAATGGCCACACGGGATCGCCCCTTGACCACCTTATCTTTTTTGGCCCCACCTACTACCAGCGTCTGAAGCACTTGTCTGGTGACAAGATTCACGCCCGGCCTCGTGGACCGCTTCAACCGCTGGTACGTCAGCCCACAGAGGGACGCGCGCATGAGGGTGGCCTGCGCTTCGGCGAGATGGAGCGGGATTGCATGTTGTCGTATGGTGCCTCCCAGTGGCTTCGCGAGCGTCTGTTCCGTGTGAGTGATTACTACTCGGTTCATGTCTGCAACATCTGTGGAACCATCTGTGCTGCCGACACGGAACAAAATGTGTACAAGTGCCAAGGGTGCGATAATGACACGCGCATTTCTCAAGTTCTCATGCCCTACGCATGCAAGCTGTTGTTTCAAGAACTCATGTCGATGGCCATTCTCCCACGTCTCGGCACCGGACCTCTTTAACTTTATGTCCTCTCCAAGTATTATGCGTACAGCACGCACGGATGAGTAACCCCTTAACAATAATTTGCTGCGCATACACAAGCTGTTTTTTTTTTTTGTGTGTGTGGATGGGTGTGCCTGTGTTTTTGCGCGGCGTCACAGTCTTGCCATCGTGTTTATTTCTTTTTTTTTTTGGCTCAATTTTTGGAAGAGGCTGGCGGTGAGAGACGGGAGTTTTTTTCTCTCCTCGTCGTTGCGGAAGCCATTTCCGCTTTGGCGTGCCATGTCTGCCAGAGTGGCCCTCTCCATGTATCGGCGGGTGCTCAAGATTCTGGCGTCTATTAAGTGTGTGGGGGCTGAGAAATTAGCGCTCCAGCGCTACGCCGAGTTTCTTCCCCAGGCCATGGAGGTGACGAAGGGGGAGTCGCTGCATGTGCTTGTCCGTAGGGCCTTTCTCAGCGCCAATTTGTGTCCGGGAACTTTGTCTAGCGGTTTTGCTTTCATCAAGGACGCCACGGAGTCGATGCGCGACTTGGAGCTGCTTGCTCTTTGGGATGCCTATGGCCGCGATGGCGAGTACGAGATGCTGCATGGGATCGCGCTTGTGAGTGCTGCGCTGCGGCACGCCGAGAACGCAGAGGCAACGCAGTTGGGGGAGCTTGCAGTCACTGTGTTGTGCATAAGACGTCAGCTGCGGCAGGTGGTGGAGGAACTGAAGGGGGATGCGCTGGTGGTGGTGGCAGGTCCTTCACCTTCTTCTGGACGGCGGCACGCTTGGAATGCGCGTTTATCATCTCTTGGAACTGCTGTGGAGTTGTTGCGGAGACGTGGCTTTGAGGTGAGTGAGAGGGCCGCAGAGGACTTTACCGCGCTGAGCCTTCTACGCAGGGGACGGGCGTCGGTCTTCCTTCTGAATGTCCTTCTCACGGTTGCCTTTTGTGAGTTGGGCGCCTTGTGCACGTTGGTGGGGACGGAGTCTCATCGGCCGTGGATACGTTTCCAGCGAGATGGAGGCCGTCCTCTCTTTCTGTCGTTTGCACACACTGGCATTCACTCTACGAAAGAAGTGATGCGACTGAATGGGTATCCACCAAGGTCCACGCAGTGGTGGCGCGCGGCGGGGTGGGATGGAAGTAGCCGCAAGCACGTTCTCTCAAGGCTGCTTAGGATGCAACTGATGTCACACTCGTCCTCCGCAGATTCTCCACTGCGCACACAGCAAGTGCGGGTGTGTCAAATGCAGATTATTTTTCTCTTGTCCTGACTTGCTCCAAGATGCCCTGAATGCGGCACACTTCCGCGCTGCATTGCCAATACGGCGTTGACTGTGTGTTTGCTGTTTTGTTTCTTCAATTGTGTATTGACTTTTTGTTGTTGGTTTTTGTTTCTCTCAAGGTGTCTGTTGTGTCGCTTCTGGACGCGGGGGCGCTGTGGAGGACATTGTAGGGTGCTCCATGCATGGCTGAGCCCATTCTGCGAGTGGGAGGCGCTGCTGTGCTTGGCGAGTTTTGCGAGGTGAAGGGTCCAGTAGTGAGGTTGCTCTTTTGTTTGCAGGGTCCACATGGTACTCCAATGCAGCTTGACAGGCGTTCTTGGCCACCGCTCATCGCCGGCATGTTAGATGAACTTGTGGAGCTCAGCATGGGCTCCGACTACGCCATTGGCAACGGGACAGGCGGCGTGTGTGGGGCCTCCGTGACGCACCTTATGTTGGACCCGCTTCGTTGGGACGGAGCCTCCGCCATGGCTCACGTGGCTCGTGTGAATGTCCCAGACGTCTTTGCCCGCGGTCACCAACGTGCTCTCAGTGTCGCACTCATCTGTCCCGTGTTGCATGTGTCTCTGGCGCTCTCGCGGTGGATGGCTGACTACTGCCAGCGAATTGCACGCCGTTTGGTTCACGGGGCGTACCTCTCTTATGAGGAAGACGTGCGGCGATGCCAGAAGGCGATTTCACTGCTCCTGGAGGCCCCAGACAAGGAGACGCTGCTCTCGCCGCACACCTGCCAGTTCCTGCAGCAAGAGCTGCAGATCATCAATCATCTACATGAAAGAAGCCAGTTGCTTGAATTGTCTGCGCCTCCTTCCCAAGAGAGTGACGTCACCGTGCCACTCGCGGAGGCCGTGGAGTTGGCAGAAAACCTGATTAATGGCAGAGGCACCGTCCCACTTCGCCCACTAGACGTGGTGTGTGGACCATGCTACACCGTGGCCTTGGAGGAGATGAAAAGCCTCTTGCACTACTACTCCCTGGACGTCCCGACCTTGCTGGAAGGCGCCCTCGGCACATTGCCTAGTGCGTTTCAAGTGCTCCATTCCCCCTTTCCCGAGCTTGCACAGGACGAGACGAAGGGGCATGCGCTGGATGCACCTCAGTTCTTTAACGTGGGAGAGTTGCGTGTTCTGGATCCGCTACGGTCCGACGTTAATTTTTCTTTAAACGATTGTTTGCCGTCATGGTCGCACTTCACGGCCCTTTACGATCCTTATTTATACAGCACTCTTAGGAACTACGGTGCCCAGCACGTGGTGGGGCTGGCGTACAATGCGTTGCGATGCAAACCGATTATTGTGTGTGGGTACGATGAAAATAGCGTTGTGGATGCCATGAAGGTGGCGTGTCTCTTTGTGCCTGGCCTGCTGCAGGGCCGGGAACACGCTCTTCGCCTGGGCATTATCCCGTTCACCTCCTCGCAGCTTCTCTCCGCGGAGGACATTCACCGGTTTGCCGTCGTGGGTTGTCATGTGAATGCGGCTCTGCTTTACGGCGCACCGCGCTTTGCGCAGGCGTGTACGTGGCACGTGGGACGCCATGAGACGACACGCGGAGGTTGTACAATGAAGTTGTACGGGGAGCAATACGATTCGTCTCGCACGATAGGGCACTATCCGTCCCTCTCCGTGCTGGCACCCTCGTTGACAGCAGACGCAGACGCAGCAAGGACGCCACTCACAACGTGGTTGTCGTCACTCCTTCAGTCCTTAGCGGAGCCTGAGGAAAGGGCCGGGGGACTTTTGTGGGAACTTGCGGATGTCTTGCGCCAGAAGGTGGTGAACACGGCACAGGAGGCAGCTCTGTCGGACCACGTGCGTCTGCTGTTGAAGCGTCTGTTGTTCGATTACTGCTCTCACGCCTCTCTGCTTTTGCAGCACCTACGGAGTCGCCGTCGATTCCAACCTTCGGCGACCGCACCTGCATCGCCGCCGCCTCGTTTTTCTGTGTTGCGTAGCAGCTTCATTGGAGGCGACAGCGATGCCCTGCCGTGGGTCTGGAGCGACGTGGACACGGACATGACGCTGCGCACCTTCTTTGGCGTCAGTTTGGCAGCTCGCGGCGATGTCATTATTGTCACGGAGCTGCTGAAACGTATGGCCATTGTCGTGGCGTGGAGTTTTTTGCCGCGGCCTGAAGGCAATCGTCGGGAAGAGGCATGAAACGCAGGGACGTGTGCGATGGAGAAAACGGGGGTGACGTGGACGCCGCAGGTTAGTGTGGCGCGGCTTAATAACTTGCACTTGTGAGGGACTGGGTGGTGTGTAACTTGTTTGCTTGATATATTTTTTGTTGTTTTGTTTTTCGATGTGTGACCCCTCATGCACCCGGTGCTGGCAACGCAGCATCGGTTTGAAGCAACTGTGGTAGTGGCCGGACAAAGACGCACATAAATATAAATAAATAGAGGCGCATTGGAGGAGCCAACCGTACACCGTAAGAGCACCCCACACCCATGGCACGCTGCATGGCGACGGTGAAGGTAAAGTGGGGCAAGGAGCTCCTTGAGCTCACGGTCAGCCTGCAGAGCACACTGGGGGAATTCAAGGCGGAGCTACAGCGGCGGACGCATGTCCCTGTGGAGCGGCAAAAGATTATGGGCATCAAGGCGAGCACATCTAACAATAACGCTACGCTCTCCGACCTCGGTGTGAGTAACGGGAAAATGCTGATGCTTCTCGGAACCCCGGCGGAGCCCCCGAAAGCCACGGAGCCCCCTCCACCCGTGGCAGAGGCCACCACCACAGCAGACAAGGTCCCCCACCCCATAGTGACGATGCCAACAGGGTTGAAAAACATTGCCAATACGTGTTACATGAATGCGGCGCTGCAAATGCTGCGTCTCGTGCCCGAACTGCCAGAGTTGCTTGGGCCACGCGGAAACGACACGCTGCTTCGCTCACTCGACCAGCTGTACAAGTCGATGGGCACCAATAAAGACCCCATCGTGCCGCTGCTCTTTTGGAACGCCCTTATCGCGCAAAACCCAACGTTTGGGGAACTTGACGAACGGGGCCACCCGATGCAGCACGACTCGCAGGAGGTTCTGAGCACAATTATTCAACGCATCAACGATGGAATTCCCGACACACACAAACGTCTCTTTGGCGGGATGATGCGGCAGACGACGGCGTGCAAGGAAACCCCGGACGATGCACCTACCGTGCGTGACCTGTCATTCTTTATGTTGTCTTGCAACATTAACGCAGAGGTGCAAATGTTAGAGACGGGGCTGGATGCCGCCTTTAATGAGACGATCCCCATTCATTCCGAGACGTTGGCACGCGAAGCTCTTTACTCGCGCACAAGCCGGCTCAGCAGTTTGCCGGAGTACCTCTTTGTGCATCTCGTGCGCTTTTCGTGGCGCTCAGACACTCAAAAGAAGGCCAAGATCCTGAAGCCCATTTCATTTCCGCTTGTGCTGGATTTCTATACGTTCTGCACAGAGGAGCTAAAGGAAAGCATGCATGCAGGACGAGACAGGGTGTTGGCGCGCCGCGACAAGGAGCGTGAGCGGCGCCGTGATGCCCGGCAAAAGTCCCGCCTTGAGGAGGCCCCAAAACCAGAGGAGGTCTCAACACCGGTGGCAGCTGACGAGGATGCCATTGGCAACGCCAGCGGTTACTATGAACTCTGTGGGGTGATCTCGCACAAGGGCCGAAGCGCTGACGGTGGCCACTACGTCTTTTGGGGCAAACCCAGGAACCAGTGGCTGGTCTACGACGATGAAAACGTTGCTTTCGTCACCGAGGAAGACGTCAAGCGTTTGAGTGGTGTTGGGGAGGGACACATTGCGTATGTCCTCATGTACCGCTCCAAGGACCCTCAGACAAAGGCCCCAACGCTTCCACTGTGAATTGACATACGCGAGTCAATGCTGAGAACTGCGAGTGGTACCTGTTTGTGTCTGCTCCTGTGCGTTTTGCCTCCTTGTGGGTGCGCCATGGAGCGCCAAGTTTCCCACGCCCTTGCTCGCCGTGTTGCGTTTTTTTCCCACTCCATGTTACTTTCTCTTCTAGCATTGACCCCCCACTCCACTCACTCTCCGGTAATTGTAGCGCACAGATAGTTACCTTCGATGATGGCGCGGCGCACGTTTACCGCACAACGGCTGCGCTGAGGAATCCGGCCCTTGCTCAGCTTCGTACTTTTTGCGCCATGGACAACAAGAGTGGTGAAGGTGCAGACAATGGTAAGGGCCGAACCATGGAGGCGTCCAAGGAGACGAAATTTGTTCCTCCTGCGTTTGTATTTGGCATACTTTCAGGGACAGCAGGCGCCTTGAGCCGAGGCGAGGCGGCGTGGCACTCAGCTACTTCTGAAACGGGCACCCGCCCTGTGGCGGGTGGCGATGGCATCAGTGGCGTTTCGCTTTATCTCACGAATGCCCGTCACGGAAGTTACGGCACTACAGCGACTGAGGGACAGAGGCGCATACAGGAAGCGGGTGCACTTGTCTTTGGCTCTCGCAAAGAGCTCAGGGCGGTAGGTGCGCCCAGTAACGGGCCAGCACCAGGGACCTCCGTCAGGAGCGATAACAATTTTGCACGCGGCGGTGAGGCGTGACAAGTACAACACGAGGAGCCGGCCCCTCTGGAGCCGACTGCGTCACTATGGAATTTATTGCCACGCACGGGAGGGGAGGAGATGCATTTCTTGTCGCAGGCGAGGATAACTGTCTCAACGGCGTTGCCAGAGAAGCCATTCACGGATCAGAGCAATAGAGGAGAACACCCACCTTGCGTCGCGTGGTTCCCCTCCTTCCGCTCGGCCCAGCAGTAGAAGTGTTCCTGTCGAATCCACAACAAAGAAGGAGCCTTCTCTTCCTCCTTGCATGGACGTGTGGATGATGAGGGCGACGGTCGCAGCCACTCCTCACATGTGCAATAATTCATTCCGCTGCCTCCGCAACGGACGTGTCGGGCGCTCTCCATGGTGCTGAGTGAGGCACACCAACACCCACCGCCTCAGCTGGGCGCGATATTCGCCAAAGCGACACGGTAGGGCGAATGCTTCTGCGTGCTTGCCAGCGGTTGAAGGAAAACACATTTATGGAGGCAGCTTCGCCTAGGGCCGCTCCAATAGCGCCCACGGACCCTGCAAGGTCCTTCCCTCGCGTTCTTTGACAGAACGCCAGGCCTAGTTGGCGACAGAGTGCAACGTCTGTAGCAGGGAGGGGCGCCGTATGCGGGGCGGGGTGCAGCTCCTCTCAGAGGAGGACCAAAAGCTGAAGAGCGCCTCCCGGCACCACGATGTGACTCACGGCGTTGAGCTGCAGATACTGTCGGCGTTTTGCGCGCACAGCTTCAAGCGGAAGAGCAATAAAGGCGCTCAAACGAACGTGGCGTTGCATTGCACAGCGAAGCGCAACATATGCTCAGCGAGGCGGGGGAACAAATCCATGCGCGCATCGTCACCGCTTCACATTATGAGCAGTTGCACTAAGACAAAAGCCGTGAAATTGGGGAGCTGATGTGCGCATGTGCAAATGTTGTAGGGCTGCATCCGGGAGGCCGAGCAGAGAGAACACCAACCACGGGCCCTCTTTGAACCGCAAAGGGCGAATGACCGCGAACGGTTGGAGAGAACATTCACGCTGTTAGAGGAGGCCAAAAAGTGTTGATCACACTTGCTCTTGTTAAATGAAATGCTTCAGCGTGGGGGGGGGAGGATGCCGTGGGCGAGCACCGCTGCCTCAAGAAGGAACTCCATCAGAGGGGGGAGGAACTGTGCCGCACCGCCGACAACCAAAGCACTTATGGCGGAAAAGGATTGCCTCCTTGCTGCCCAGTTCATTAGTGCTCAGCAGGAAAATGACATCCTACGAGAACGTCTCAGCAAGGCGGTGGAACAAGCAAAAGGTGATGCGGAGCGGGCGCAGCGACAATTACTACGAGACTTCAAAGCAGGAGGCTCAGCGCGCTCTCACGGAACGTGTGTTGCAGAAGTGGGACGAAACGGTGACGCGTTCGAAGAGCGATCTAGCACGCGTCTGCCATGGGACTGACACTTTGCGGGCGCCCCTCACCGACGCGCAGGACACGTTGCAAAACCTCCAGCAGGTTTGTGTGCGTTTGCAGGCGTAGTGCGATGCAGTAACACCCCCACAGAGAGACTCGGAAGACGCTATTGGATGCATGGAGGCTCACTGAGACGATGCAGCAGCTGTTGGAACGGAACTCT